GTTCGTCGAAACGGAAGTGAACGGTTCCAGAATGCATGACAGGTCACGCTACACTGAACATACAGATCGATAGAAGTTTTTTTTTCCGTTCAACGAAAGCGCTCGACGAAAACGGCACGGATGAACACGTGGTCCGCTTCAGGGCGATGTGAGATGCCCGCGGGGAGATGGGGTGAAATGGAAAAGCACTTGATTTCTTCTTAGATTTGTTTTCTTTTTTGAAAATATAATTCTCGCGTCACTTTTCAAATAGACCAATGTAACATATCCACCATTTTGAGAAAATCGAAGTTGAAGTTCGACAGATTATTATTTTAACTGTTAAGAAACAATACAGTTTGCTATACCATTTTTAATGCAGTCAGTGATTAATAACGTTGAAAATCCATTAGAAACGGTAAAATCATAATTTTACTTTGAATGTGTGCTACAATATAGAAAAAAAAAACACATAGGACGTTTTGACTAGTCAAGTTGTACATCGGACATGTTACATTGGACGATTTTTCTCATTGACATAATCAATGAGTGTTACATTGGACGTTTTGTCTACATGATACTAGATTCCCTTTCACAGATTTCAGAGTAGAATACCTAACTTTAGGTTGGCCCCGCTTTTCGAAAATGAGCTCCAATCATGTTAGGCAGTTCGAATGACCGAAGTAACAATCATGTACCCATCATTTCAAACTGTACATTGGACAATTTTTGACCTATGATTATCTTAAATAAATGAAAGTAAAACGCTATCCAGACTGGAGAGTTATAACATGTTATAACGGTTGTCAAATAATTGCAACACAGAAATCACCATCAAGATAGCGCTATAACATGTTATAACTCTGTAGTCTGAACAAAGCATAAAGTTGAATGGATGTTTTTGTATCACATACAATGATAGAAGAGCAATAGTTTGTATCGCTTAACTCGATATGTTTACATTTGTTACATTGGTCTATTTGAAAAGTGACGCGAGAATTCTCGATTATTGATTGCTGGACCACCGACAAACCGACGTGTAACTCAGTTTCTAATTTTGACGAAACCGAGTGTCAGTCAGATTCCTCTGAAAGTAAACGCTTCTGTCATTTTTCGTGTGACGTGCACTTGACAAAGCGGAGAACGTGTGAACCCATCCTGCTCGCACTCGTTCGGTTAGATGACGAAATAGTGTGTGTGCAACCATGCCACTCGCACTTACACTCATAAAATTCGACACATTTTATATCCATGTAAAATTCCACATGATTTTCATGTGTCCACACATAAAAACTATGTGTCCGACACATATATATCATTTGTTTACCACATTGCATAAATTCATGTGCGGGACACATAAAATTAATCATTGAATTTTTATTAGTGTAGGCCCCTAGCAAAGTGAGAGCTGGTGACCGAGCGGATAAAAGATTTTATTAATAATTGCTATTCCATTTGCTGGCCAGCTTGGTCCCCAGTTTTCACTCTCACAGGTACATTATACAGTAATGTAATACGGTAATACCAACCGGTGAATAACGATTTTAAATTGGCTCACTACTTGACTAGCCTATTGGTCCCAAGTACATTTGTAAGCGTACCACCGACAAACCGACATGAATGACCATAGCAAAAACAATAAAATTTCTGAGCAAAGAACACTACTGTTATCTGGGAAAATATTTAGCTAAGCCATGAACCCGCATGCAAAAGTTATGAATTGGTTCGTGTCTGATCTTTTCTGAACAAATTATTTTTATCTATCTGCGTTTGCGTTTATCTAGATAAAAAATCCTATGGTTTTGACAGTTCGGATCACTGCACATTTAAATCGGCTGCTTACAATTTTATGGCATAAGTCAGAATTAAGTGTCATGTCGGTTTTTCGGTGATTTCACTGCAGTCTGGAAAATTATCGAGAAAAACTACCCAAGAAAAAAATTGTCCATCAACTGAAACAATTTGACGCAACAACGGTGCCCTGTTTACTAAAAATGAACACATGAGTAATGCTCACGTAACATTTAAAAATAGAGGAGTTGGTTGGAAATGCTGACATGAAGCTTTAGTGTGATGATTTATTAGCTAGAGAATGATCTTTAGAAGAGGTGGATAGTTCCGTTAGAGTACGGCAGTATGAAAATTGAATGCATAGCATAGCGGAGTTTGGTACTTAAGCATTTTGATGTGAAGACTGTTAATCTATACGGAAGGCTGGAAGAGGAGATATACATGCGGCAACCAACCGGTTTTGAGATTAAAGGTAAGGAGAAGCAAGTGTGCAAGTTGAAAAGGAGTATTTACGGGCTGAAACAGTCGGCTCGTTGCTGGAATCACTGTCTGCACGCCGTTCTCGAAGTCCTGAATTTCAAGCAAAGCCAGGCTGATCCGTGTCTTTACACGAAGGTTGTAAACGGAAAGCGCGTATACTTGCTTGTCTACGTCGACGATATTTTGATCGGCTGCAAAAGCGAGACGGAGATCGGAAAGATCTATGCGGCCCTGAGTAAGGAGTTCGAGATGACCAACCTAGGAAATGTGAACTATTTCCTGGGGATGGAAATCAAGAAGGAAGATGGTAAGTACGGCATTTTGCTGGAAAGCTACGTAGACCGAGTTGCTGAGAGATTCGGCCTCGGTGAAAACCCCGATGGAGGATGGATTCGTCAAAACCAGGGAGGACAGTCCTCCACTCGAAACAAACACGCAATATTGGAGTCTAGTCGGGACACTGTTGTACATCGCAGTCTGCGCGAGACCGGACATCGCTGCTAGTGTGTTCATTTTGGGGAGATGCGTGTGTGCCCCGACGGAAGCCGATTGGATAGCGGCTAAACGGGTAGTTCGCTACCTGAAAAGTACAAAGAAGTGGCAGTTGAAGTACGGAGATCCTGACGGCAAGTTGATTGGATACTCAGATGCGGACTGGGCAGGTGACTTGAAAACTCGAAAGTCGACGACCGGCATCGTTTTCATGTTAGCAGGAGGAACCATTTCATGGACAAGTCGTTTACAGAATTTCGTCACATTGTCTTCGATGGAATCGGAATACGTGGCGTTGAGCGAGGCGAGCCAAGAGGCTGTTTGGCTTCTGAATTTGTTCGACGACTTCGGTGAACCGTCCTTCAAGCCAGTGACGCTGTGGGAAGACAACCTGAGCTGCATTAAGTTCATTGTTTCGGAACGGACGACCAAGCGATCGAGACACATTGAGACTCGGCAGTGTTTCGTCAAGGAGTTGTGCGATGCAAAGGTACTGGAACTGTTGTATTGCTCAACCGAAGAAATGGCTGCGGATACACTTACCAAGGCGCTTGGACAGGTGAAGCTTCGGAAGTTCTCTGCTATGCTGGGATTGACCGACGGAGATCGTTGAGGAGGAGTATTGGTAGGAGCAACGATCGAGATGCTCTTACCACAGACAAACAGACATAGCACCATCTATCATCCACATTCCCAAGCATTGATGTGCAACTAGAGCATCCCTCGTTGATGCCATTTTTTCACTAGTTGCTTTTCCCTCGTTCTGTCAACGCGTCAGCTGTGTTGAATAAAAACAAAACAGATGGAAGTCAGTGATGTCGGTTCTACTAAATTTTTTGTAGATATATAGAATTCTGCAGAAATACGGATCCGTAGGAAAAATTCACAGAAGCTAAGACTTTTTTTAGGAATTTGTTTTGTTTGTTTCGTGTGCTTTTTCTTTTGCTGGAAACAAGTTTTTAAACGAGGTTATGCATCACTAATTAGTGCCCTTTCTACCACCGCTCATCACTTTAATGCGTGTACAGCAAAAAAAAATAATATGTATCAATCAATGAAATTCATGGCGAAGTATTGAACATCAATAACTTGGGTATAAATTGATAGAATATTACATACATCAATATGATTTGTTCTCGAATTCTGTGTTAATCGTGCAGCGTAATATTAGGAACGGAATGACTAATGTGCAGCACTTTCGATGTAATATTCAATAACTATTTTTTCTGTATTCGTCAGATGTGGTGTGTGTCTCCAGTGGGATGCCTTGACCTCGGCCTTGACCACTAATCATTTTCAAGAACTGACATCTACTACCTAGACGTGAAAAAGAACTGGCATCACTGATAAGTTCTAATTTGGTGGCTTGGCAAAACTTCAGTGGCGCCACCATTATTTGCGATGAATGTGACTGTGAGTGTTATGTCTGTTTTTCTGTGCTCTTACCATCAGAGCTGTGCTGTCAAGAATGAAACTTTCTACCTACACCGACAGCACCGCCTACCTTGTTTTTCTACATTCGTAAAAGCACCATTCAAGTGAGAGCATTGTTGTTGCTAATCCTTAATTAATAAAGTGTTTAATTAACTACAGTAGTTCCTCGGATACTTATTTCTACTGAATATATCACGGCCCAATAATCTTGTGTTTTTCCAAGTTATTAGCTGCCCATCGGTGTACCCCCATGTTTGTCTTTTTCATCAGAGTGTCGCCTAGTTTGAGATCAAGAGCACATTGCTCTCCAAACTTTGTGTTCAAAATCCTTACCCTGCCATCCATTTGTTACCCCTAACCTCGAGATAGGCACGAGTAATCGGCCCCCGCTCTACTAACGTTAGTATTAAGTAATTTTGTTATCTAATCAATGAATATTGGCTCCGCAAAGCTACAGCAAATGAGCCTGGAAAAATAAACGCATTATATAAAAAAAAATGTATGAAATTGGATCTGTCAAAATGAGTTTGACAGTGATTTGATATGCATTTTCCTCGGATTTTCACTAACCGCTCTCACATATCGCTCCAATACAACCGGACGTGAAAATCTCTAAAACATTTCAACGAAGTGTCTTGCCCCTGCATGAATGTTCATTCGTCCCAACCGGAAAGAAAATTTTGGCAATTGGAATAATTTCAAGCAAGCTCGACAAAGTTTGCGTTTTCATCGGCCCAGGGTCATCGATTTATTCATCTGCTGACCATTTCCAATTTTTGACATTCATTCGCCCGCGCACTTTTTTTTTCCAACGGTCCGGCAGTAGTTTGTTGATAAACAAATCTGATTCACGGTCGTTGTTTTCACCGTTTCACGACGCTTTTCATTCCAGTTTGTTGTTTTGTTGAGCATCATACATATTTTTAGCGTGAATTCGTGATTCTCGTTTTCTAATTTCGTTGGTACCAGAAATTAACCGACGAGGCAACATGGCGGATATGTTCAGTAACAATTTGGATAAGATTTTCGAGAGTATCAACAGTACTATGCGAATCGCCAACGAATACGGCACTCCTGGTAAGTATCGATCAAACAGAGGTTATTGCGGTGATGGTTTCTTAAATCGTTTTATATGAAATACAGAACAGCAGAATATCAAGGTCTACAGTGCCCTTACGGAAAAGTTGGTTGAAATTGAACAAAACTTCAACAAACACAACAAAGCTCTGCAAGAGTCATCTAAGGAAATCACACTTGAAGAGTTCGACCGAGTATGTCACACAACGTTGAATTTTATTAAACCGTTTCAAGTACTGATAAGCTTTCCATCGTTCTAGAGATACCAATCAAGTCTGACTGCCGGCAAAAGCAATGTAAAGCAACTCAAACGCTACAAAGATTACATCGCACATGCGCGATCCATACTGAGCTCCCAAGACCAAGATGATTCCAATGATTCTCGTTCGGACGAGGACGAGGAAATGGTGCAAATGGATGAAGCTATCATCGATACCGACCCAATCACGAAGCGTCCTCTGGAAGTGCCGGTGCGAAACATAAGATGTAATCACGTGTACGAAAAGAGCGCCATCGAACAGATGATCAAGACAAATCCACGAACAAGATGCCCTGTGATGGGTTGCGCCGCTGCTCAGTTCGTAACTCTGGCGGATTTGCAGGAGGACGAAAAGCTCCGACAGAAACTGAAGATGCAACGTAGGACGAAAAATAAGTAAGATCGCGTTAATAATGACCTGCGAATCAAACGAATTTCATTCTTTACTGCTGATCGACTTTGGTCATACCTACCGATCATTTGTACCTAATTTGCTGTAGTAATTTTTAAAATACAATAAAAAAAAACAAATCGGAAAAGTTGTTCTTGTACGATTTGGTCATATGGAAAATCACTGCTATGTTGTAACTCTACTATGAATGAGTGCCAAAAATATTTCACATTTTCAACCACCAGTGATGTCAAAACTATTGACAAGGTTATTTCTTAAATTGAGGTCTATTCTGCGCCTCGAGTGAGGTGACTCGCTTATAGCCGGCGCCGGTGGTGTAGTGGTAAGCGTGACAGCTTTCTCACCCCAATGGGTTCAATCCCAGCCGGGGTCGGTGGGATTTTTCTGAGGCATAAAAATCTCTAGTTACGTCTCCCTTCGGACGGGCAGTAAAGCCGTTGATCCCGGCCCATGTGTGTTGAATGGGTGCGATGTCCTACGCAGGTGTGGAAACTGCCTTCCTGCACATTCGATTGCCGTCAATGGATTTGCCAATGATGTTTGGCACCAGCTTGCGGAATATAAACCACCGACGTTAAATAAAGTAATGAATAAGAAGAAGAGTTGACTCGCCGTGCTAATCAAATGGAGAGTCACCTCACTCATGGTGACTATTGCCACCTCAATCGTGGCAGCGCGGCGCAGAATAGGCCTCATTGTATTTGGCCTGCGTTAGGGTGCGGCCGGCGCTGGTATTGCCTAGTTTGAGATGACCAGTTTTTACACATTGAGGATGATTGTTAGTCCCAAGCATCAGGATTGTCCAGTAATCAAAGGATCACATTTTAGTCCTTGTTACTTTTTTTGACTTGATAATAGTGACAAGACTCGGGCAGTGACCACCGCGCCGTTATGCATTTCTATATTGTATGTTTCAAATCAAAAATATTGTTTATGTTCATAGATTTCACATAATCCTTTTCCCTTTGTCCTTCTCCTTTTCCTTTCCCTCTTCTCTTTTCAGAAAGCGAGTAATGGCACTATACCCATAAGTCATAAAAGGCTAGGACAAGAGTTAGTGCTCATGCCCCAATCGTCTTAACCTTTCTAGCTTTGATGCTTCCAACGACCAATAATAGAGGTAACTCTATAACCAGAAGGTCCCGAAGAAACGAGCTCAACTTTAGGCTCAGCTCTGGTACTATCTTCGGTCCCAAGCTAATCGATGCACCCCTCGAAACATAGGAAAATCCACGAACCCCTCATTTTATCTGTCAAACTTTCATAACGAATCAAAACAAACATAGTGTAGTACTGGAATTTATACTAAAAAATCTTCACGTTGATGGGTTGGGGAAAGTTTCCCTTATCCGATGATGCTGGTAATTTACGTTCGATTGGCCAGGAAAGAATAATCAAAGTTTTGTTTATAAAAGTTGATAATACCTTTTCAATTGTTGGTCTACAATATATTGAATTGGTTCCGCTTTTTGATAGATCGAAATTCTATCCGCCAGACTATGAATATAGCGACTATACTTCGCACGAGTCGTTGATTTGAATTGTTTGCTACTGGTAAGCTGGTCCACAAAAATCTACCCCTGTGTTGTAGAAAGGGTAGACTAACTCTACTCGGTTCATTGTCAGTTTTCGAATCGTTTTACAGTAGTCTTACCAACAATCAATACGAAACTAACGATTTTAAATTGGCTCACCACTTTAGTAGCCTATTGGTCCCAAGCAAACGATTAACGTACCCTATTCTAGTTGAAATTCTATTACTACACTATGTTTGTTTTGATTCGCTATGAAAGTTTGACAGATAACATCAGGGGTGTGTGGATTCATGCAGAACATGCAGGGGTGAGTGAAATAGCTTGGGACTGCTTGGGACCGTTGTTCTGGTACTGAGTGAGCCAAAAATAATAATGATTTTCTTCGGGTCCCAGTGGTCTTAGAGTTACCTCTATGGTCTTACCACGCTCAATCCAGAATGTAGCTCGAAACTCGAATTTCAGGGATCTTGGAACTCCTGTAGCCACACAGCTTTGGTATTTGACAGGAACTCGGGACCATTCCACCACAAAGATGAATTTTGGAGATCCTTTGGCATCAATCCTTTCGATATGATGTCCATCATCGATGTCAACGCTTGGATCTTTGTGACACGATTTGTCACAAATAGCTTAAGTTGTTCTGGGCGTCGATTGATCCAAGCAAGAGCTATTGTGCACCAGAGTACGGTTTGATCCGTAGAAATTGTTAATGATCTAATGGTAGCAGTGACTAATTGAGCTAATTGCTGAGCACCACATAATTCCAGCTTGGGTATAGTGAGACCAGGCTGCGATTTTCTTGAGTTTGTGAATCTTTTAAATTTGTCGAACCTCTTAACGGAAGAGCTTTGAGTGTGTAGAGATCAAGAAAACGGATACTCGAGACTTTTTAGCATGCTACATAAAACCACACATCGTAGCATGCCTCTACATGTTGGAGACTAAATTTAGGTACCTGGTTAGGTAAATTGTGACATGGCAGTGGATACCTGCTGATTTTAAGTACCTATTGATTAGTATATAACTTGTAGATAAAAGATGGATTCTTCAGTGGTGTTGAGTACTTGGCACTGATGAAGTCTGCAAGTAGTAGGCGAAATACGCGTATCTGTCAAAAGATAAGCAATTATAACGGAACTAAAAGGAAATAAACCAACACACTTAAAGCTCATTGAGTTTGTGGATTTCATGACTTTGAGCATACTAGCGATACATTCACCTGACCGTTTTCGTTCGTGGACCTCAAACGCCTAACCTTGACCTCTCGTAGACCAACTGCGACTTGAAATCTACCTATTTTTCGACGTCTTTTTTATTAATAACCGTTCTAAATTGGGTTCTGAGCGGATTTTTCGTTTTGAACTTGTCCAACTAGGCGACATTCAAGTAAAAGGGCATCGCATGGGGTGACATCCGTGGAAATGTTGTTCATTTCTGCGTCCATTAAGCTACGGAAGCTATGAGACTCGGTTTTCAAAACCCTCAAAACTTCCGAGTCAGCTGACATCAGCTTAAATGTCCGTAGTCATGATCCTAGTGGATGAAAACTAATTTTATAAGACGATAGTCATTTCCAGATTTGGAACTTGAACGATACATTTAAACGAGCAACAGAGTCGAAACGTTTCAACGGCTATCAGTAGGGTTTCCTCCTGGGCCTGGATCAACGAGTCACGCTTGCTTGCTGAATCAACGAGTCAGTGGCGCGCAGTTATTGCTGTTGATATAATAAATGTTTATATCGCACATAAAATCAGATAGTATTTGGATCCACACGTCAGATAAACAAACAAGCAAAATTTGTCTATTGGCAAATCAAAGTTGGCACTCGTGGAGAATAGAAAAACTATGAAAGTGATGATGGTTTCAAAATTTTCCACGGGGAAGTATACCAGTGCAATCTTAAAATGCTTTTATTTTGAAAATGGAGCATTTTATTTAAATCTGGTTACTGCTACAGTGGTAGAAAAGCGGAAGTCTATGTTTACACCTAAAAATCTGAAAAGAAATTATGTTTTCTGTATTATATGTCTATTGAGTAGTCCTGAAGTTTTCTACTAACGTAGCACTAACCAGATTTAAATAAAATGCTCCATTCACGAAATAAAAGCATTTTAAGATTGCACTCGTATACTTCCCCGTGAAAAATTTTGAAACCATCATCACTTTCATAGTTCTTCTATTCTCCATGAGAGCAAACTTTGATTTGCCAATAGCCTATAGCAAACCACACATCAGATACACTCAAAATAATCTACACGTTGAAACTACGTGGAAAATCACGTAAGCTCTCAATTTTTCCTCTCCTCTCAGCTTTACGTGACTCACGTAGAATATATGTGATGTCCATTGAATTTCACATGGAGTTCCTTTTAACACACGTAAAGCTTATGTGATTTCCACATCTAAAAAAAGAGTGGTACGTACACTCAGAGCACTGCAAATCATGGCGGCATCATGATGTGCTTTTGTGCGGTATTCGGTAGTGGCAAGATGTAAGTATAACATTATGGATAATTTTATTTGCTTTAACAAAAACAAGCTGTCCGTTTCTACTTGCTCCACAGAATGATGTCAAGTTGTCTCCCTAATAAAAATAACCATAAAAGATAGCTTAACGACGTGTTCGGGGTATCATCCAAACCATTTGTGGGATAGTTTACCCATCCGGGATACAGTTCGTTTATGGTATTTGTTTATTAGGGCTATCAGTTTCTTCCTCTAAGGAAAAAAGTATCTCGGCTCATCTCCATGATCCTCCAGATTGTTTGTGCTGTGTATCGAATTGAACAAAAAAATCTGATGTGGTGTGTTTAGATTGTAAAGATTGTATATTACATATTAAGGAAATATTTGTATAAACAGTGACAAAATATTGATACTAGAATCCTCCAATGAATGTCACTGACCAAATCACGTAACTTCTATGTGATAATCCTGTGCCGTTTAAGCTTTATGAAATGAGTGAGTATACGTATGTTTCCACGTAGCATTTATGTGAAAATTATTCTGAGTGTAAACAACCAAACAAATTATCGCTAGATATTTTTTTAAAGTATTTACACAAACAGACATAACACTCGCAATGTGTTCATCGAACAAGCATTTAACGGACAATTTAATAGTATCGTAGTTGGTAGTACCGCCACCTGTGGCGCGCATAGTCGATTTCCTTGCGTTTGACGTTTACACACTACCGCCATCTGTTCAGTTTAGTGCCCACCACAGTGTACTCAACAGATGGCGGTCATGTTTGAGCGACGATGTTTTACAGTGAAAAATATTCAATGTGTTATGTCTGTTTGTCATCTTTTTGTCAGTGTGCCGCAAGTTAGCAAATTGTGCCAGTCAACCCGGTATTTCAGACACCTTGAATGTGAAATCGGAATGAGGATGACGTGGGAAGTGGCGGGTGTACGAAATGTTGGTGTTTTGTGTTCATATGATAATAAAAGTCCTGTGTTGTAGGGTTTTATAATGCCCTCAGGGGCAGGCCAGAAACCTAGCCTTTCGTGATGTGAAAATTAACGGTCTATCAGCGGCCGGAAAGAGTGGGGGGACGGTACATTGTTGGAGACAGACTGTAAAGGATGATGGACATGACTTCTGTAGTTTGTTTTGTGTGAGTTGCAGCATTATTTGAATTTAATGGTACTAATGGGGTCTGATTAACCCACTCTAGAACCTAAATTTGGTATATTCAATTAGAGGATGTCAGCAGCAGTCAAACAGCACGTAATGTTGTGAACAACTTCAATGCAAGTGTTCCAGCAGTGTATTTACAACAATGCAATGCCTACGAGATTGTGCCGAAGGTGTGCTGAAGATGTGCCAAATCTGATTTGGGCACAATGTGCTGATTGACTTACCCCTTGCTTCTAGCCCTTTTCCATATTGCACTGTTTAAAAGTTCTGTAGCTTCCTCTTTTTCGCTTTTCAAGCTTATTGCTTATCGCATATTAGCTTCTCAACTTAAGCGAACCCCACACGTTTCAATATATTGACGCGAAAGGGAATTATTGACAATCATATTGATGATGTGAATGCAGATATATTGTCAATATCGATGTATTGATGTCAATATAGAATTTATTGACAATACGATTATTGTCAATAAAAGCTATCGTGTAGAGTTCACTTTAGTGTTCTAGATGCACTTCCACAGTTATTAATTGAGAGCTTCCAATGCCTGCTACCATTTTTGCATTAGTATAATTGTGTGGCAAGTACAACCATAATACTCTATGCCCAGGGAATTCGAGAAATTGTCCAATCCGAAAAATTCCTAGACCAGACCGGGAATCGAAGCAGCCATCTCCAGCATGTTCTTGCTTTGTAGCTGCGCCTTTACCGACTAAGCTAAGGGAGGCACCAAGTTCTGCAGCTATTCTTATGGATTGAATTTACTCAGCTACAACTTTGCAGAATATAGTTTTTAAGCCAAACGTCTATTAAAATAGTTAATAATTGTTTAAGAGATTGATAATCTTATGGCATGATCAAGCAGCTGTTTTGTGAGCAACACTGTATACTGCAGTGTGACATAGTAGGCATGATTTTTGTGCTCTATTTTACGCGTCAGAAACGTTGTCTGCTGAACAGTTGATTAAGCATAATCATAAGAGATCAGTGGGTTGAATCATGAATGACTTTTGTTCCTTACATTTGATCGAACAGTGGTCTTCAACAAAGTTGTAGCTGAAAAAAAAATCTACAAGCATAGCTATCATTTTTTTAAGGTGGTGAATTGGTGAATAGATATGAAGAAAAAAATTAGTTTTCCCATAGTAATTTCAAATGGTTTGTGCCTTGTCAGTTTTTTTCATGAGTTCAAATTTTGGGAGGCTATTTAGGACCCGATTTGGAACCGTTTAAGCACTGATGAGCGAAAATGTCAAATGCGTATACCGATAGAAATACAAAGTTTAGAGTGGGATGCCCCTAGGCCTGGGCATTGTTTAGGAAAGAACACACTGAAATCAGTATGGAAAATTATCACAATCTTGGACTTGACACATTTTCGAAACTCTGTGACATTGCTATTTTTTTCACGAATATTAGCTTATTGCGTGCTCTGAACTTAGTGTTCTAGATGCACTTCCACAGTTATTAATTGAGAGCTTTCGATGCCTGTACCATTTTTGCATTAGTAATTGTTTATAATTGTGTGACAAGTACAATCATACTCTATGCCCAGGGAAATCGAGAAATTTTCCAACCCTAGACCGGACCGGAAATCTAACCCAGCCACCTCCAGCATGGTTTTTCTTTGTAACTGCGCCTTAACCGACTGAGCGAAGGGAGGGCCCCAAGTGGTTAGTTTATGAATAGTCGAATTTATTATAGGTGGTAGGGTAGATACCCTAGTATCGACCTTAGTGTCCCTAACGTTCGTTCTGGATAAAACATTTCTGGTCAATTTTTCAATAACAACAAAAAAAGCTATTTGTATTGTGCAGATGAGGCATTGTGCTGTAAAAAAATGATCCATATAGAACACCATTTAAGCATTTCCCGTATATAGATATTTAGACAGGTGGGAACAAGTCAAAATTTAGAACCACACAGACACAATCATGAAAAATGAATTAAACTTTTGTCCGAACTTAACAATTCACAAAATTAATATGTAGTCAGCCTAATACCCCGTTCACATTACAGCCTATATTACGTGATCTTGATATCAGCATCCATACATCTAGTTTTCACTGGAACTAATATGTATGACGTTTGCTATCAAGATGCTCTATATCACATAATATATACAGTAGTGTGAACGGGGTATAAACTCGAACGCTGAATGCATACTTAAACTCCCACGAGCCTCGATATAAGAACGCTTTACAGTCTTCATTCGCTGGTTGGGACACAATCTGATTCAATTTACCGAATGTTGTTGAAGATCTTCGAACTGTATTTGTTCATACACACCAGCCCAATGACATTTCAAGGCTAATTTGATGCACTCTTATGGACGATATCTGATTTGTAGATGTGATGTCATCCAACTAGCCAACACCCAAACAAAAACAAAAAAGCACTCCAACGAGCCAACGATGACTGTGCTCGCTGTATACCTACGCGAGCAAAATAAGCACCTAGTCAAATACATACACGCATTTGAGCGCACGAAAACCACGCGAGACTGAACCGAACCATTTGTAGTGGAAATTAGCTACTTAGGCTTTTGTATGTTCAGTTCAGTTGCCGCAAAGTTACCGAATTCGACGTATGAGTGTTCGCGGTGCGCAGTGCGCCGATGATGTCGGTACGTAAATCGAAAGCTCCCTCCATCTGGTGCATGCAATAAAGAGATAGAAAGCTCTTACGTGGCTATCTTGTCGTTGTTATCCGGTGAAGGTTTGTAGATTCGAGGGTTCTATTGTTGGGCAATTTGTGTGATAAACGTCCGATAAAAGAAAAAACGACAAACTACTCTTTTGAACACTAACCCACAACGGAGCGAGAATGGGATCACTTCGTTGCTGCAGCGATGATCCATCCAAGGTTACTTTCCCTCGAGACGCCAGCAGCAGAGTGCTACCTATGGTGTGGAAGGTAACGGTCGTGGTTTCTTTTATTATTTGTGGTCTACGATTGAGTTTAATTCGGAAACGGCAGAAGCAAAACCAGTTTCAAGTTTACTCTAGGATTCGCAAAACACGAGAGAGAGATGGTAGTTTTGTTGCTGTTTTTGAACAGTCGCGTAGCTCTTGAAGTGCGTTTAAAAGTGATGAGGCATCGAGACGCATTGTCTAGATCGACATCTGCATCACGACGATCTTTAAAATAGATTGGATTGCACTATTTTTTTTCCGCACAAACTTTGCAATCGTAGATATTCGTAGAGGATGAAGGATGATTTTAGAATTTCGCAGCATTCCACCGATAGGGAAGCAAACACGTTTTCAGTGTCGCCCAGCGTATGGCGCAGTGATGAGCAACAATTCGGTGTGCAGATTCATTAGTGACGACGGCAAGTGGTGATTAATTGTTGCTGATTGCAAATTTGTGATAATATATTATACGAGCTACATTGCTGTGGTAGTGCCTGTCACTGATTATTATCGTGAAACGTACATTCCCTGACTGGCCCAGTAGGTAGATAACAATTTTTGGTGATGTTTGTTTGCAAACTCGTTATCACATTGACTGCAACGTGGAATCAAGCAAATGGTAAAAAGTAAAGGCCCAAACGCAATGTGGACGGAAGCGGAACGGAAGCGGAAAGTTTGACAGTTGTCACGAATGAAATCAAGAAGCCTAACCGATGTCGATTTGGTTTTAACTAGTTTTCAATCCGACAAGTAGGCTTACTCAGATCGGGCTTTTCCGCTGCCGCTGCCGTTCCGCTTCCGCTGTCATTGCGCTTGGGCCTTAACTCGACGTAGGTAGGTATTGCCAATTTTGCACCAAAGTAGCCTCCTGCGATTTTGTTTCGGTCAGGTTAGTGAGTATAAAATTTCATCATTTTCCAATAGCATATAATGTCAACATAACTACTAGCGGAGATAGAACCCTAAATTGTTATTTTCTTCTGGCCTGAGCGAAAACAAATCTGACGGATTATTTTCAGCGCTGGAGTCTACTTTAGGGCAAAATGTGCAATCTACAGTCAGATCTTGTTTTACACTCGAGTTATGTACCGTGTAGCCACACCACGTAAATAATTGTGCTTCATGGCTGGTAATATGGTGGTGGTGAATATTTCAAAACAAAATCTAAATAAAAAAGTTAGACCGAAAAAATTTTTTTTTTAGATCCGCCCTAATAAATTTTCCAAAAATGTCCATAGAATGATATGTTGATGAGATAGATAAACATCTTTGCTAGAGTTTGTTCGCAAGAAAAGATCTTCCTGTTGACGTAGTTTGTGACTAGGGTGGTTATCTTTTTTTTCAAAATATTTCTTGATTTTTATACATCATCTGAAAGAGCTTCGTTTTCTGAGCACAACGATATTTTTATCGAACCTATAGTCTTTTATCTCGATTTTTAAATCAAGATTTAAAGCAAAATAATAGCTTCACTGTTTGGCACTAAACTAACAAATTGTCAGCTTACTCTCATTCAAATTCGCATTCAAGGGGCACTAAGATGGTGATTTTGCTAATGTGATCGCAATTATTTAAAATAGTTTAGTGCACTAAAATTGATGAAATTTTGGATTTCGGTTCTATTTTTAATTTAGATTACGAATATGCATTTGCCTCAATACCCAGAACGCAATCGAACTGAATTTTGGTTGCTTGAATAATGCCTTGTTTGGCAACCCGGTATTTGGACAGCTCTTGTTTTAGTTTTGTTTTTCGAAAACTGAGATGACCCCGGGAGTAGGTAAAAACATTTCCGTTCCGGGATACGGACTTTGCGGGTGGATTTTTCTAAGACGGTCCTGTAACATCCTGTGGTATACATAGTTGGCGTGGAATAATAATAATAATAATAATGATAATGAAAGATTACAATTTACATTTGTATATATAATACAATAAAGAGTAAAGTTTGGCCCCTCAAGTTTTGATATACTCAATTTGAGTTGGATTCAGTTAGCGTGTACCGTTGATTCGATGGTCTAAATAAACCCACACATATGCATGCGTGAACGAAACGAATTGAGCCTTGTGTGCATCGCTTGGCATGATCGAATCAGTCATTTAACTAATGTTGTAGCGCACGGATGTGCACCTCACTGGTCTTTGTTAAGACACATGGCTGAGGCTTGAAACCTCGGCCAGGTCACGACAATGGCGCAGTCGGTAGCTGTTTTTTAAGTTTAAATTCAAGTGAAATGATAGCGACAGTAGTGTTGTAGTGTCATGTAGTGATTTATTTTTACAGTAAGGAGGAGCGAAGGTATATGTTCAAACAAAAGAGAGCCAAACCTCTCCAACGCAAGGCAGAAAAAAAATACCCTCGGTAGGCTCCCTGACGGAAATGGGCAGTGGAGTAGGCCGAAGGGGGCAAAAGAAAAGAAGACAAAATAATCAGAAAAAAACCAACAAAACCTCTCCGACGCGAGTGCGGAGGAGGAGAAAATACTCTCGGTAGGCTCCCTGACGGAAATGGGCAGTGGAGTAGGCCGAGGGGGCAAAAAAAAAGGAAATTGAAAAAATAAATAAAGTCTCCGACGGAAGGGCGGAAGACTTGAAAATACTCTCGGTAGGCTCCCTGACGGAAATGGGCAGTGGAGTAGGCCGAGGGGGCAAAAAAAAAATTGAAATAGAAAAAAAAAATAAAGTCTCCGACGATAGGCCGGAGGAGGAGGCAAAAAAAAATCTAAATTGAATTTGATGATATAATGGTACGAATGCTAAAACATGATGGCACTTGTACCATCCATGCTCCATGGATGGAATGCTGACAGATGAATTTTTTACTTCAATGTTGATTTGATTATGTTTATTTAGTTCTAGAAATATTCTTTGCACTAAGAGCCTGGTAAGCTTAAATAATTAGTCGCTGAGTGTAGTTTGATAATTATTTTAAATAAATATTGTGCTGTCTTGAGAAACGAGATTGAGTTATTAAAAATGAGAGTTTGGAAGTCGAAGATGCTGCAATAGAAGATGGATGCATAATTAGCTGATGTTTATTTAGTTCTGGAACTATTCTGTGTACTAAGAGCCTGGTAAACTCAAACAATTAGTCGCTGAGTGTAGTTTAGGAATTATTTTAAATAAATCAAATGGTGATTGGAGCAATTAAAATGCTGGAATCAGGGTTACTTTGAGGGAAAATGAGTTTGAAATAACGTGAAGTGAAAGCTTGAAAATCGGAGATGCTTCAATGGAAGATGATTTAGTAATTTGAAGCTGATTTAATTCTGAGTTATGAGAAATTAATGATTTGAAGCCTGAGTTACTTCAATGGAAAATAAATTAGTAATTTGATGATGTTTATTTAGTTCAGGAACTATTCTTTGCACTAAAAGCCTGGTAAGCTCGTACATATAGTCGCTGAGTGTAGTTTAGGAATTATTTTAAATAAATTAAATGGAGACTGGAGAAATTAAAACATTTAAGTCGAAGATACTTTAAAAGAAAATTAGTTAGAAATAACGTGAAATGCAAGCTTGAAAGTCAGAGATACTTCATTGGAAAAATATCTAGTAAGTTGTTGCTGATTTGATTCTGAATTATTAGATATTAGTGATTTGAAGTCTGAGCTACTTCAATGGAAGATGAATTAGTAATTTGAGATTTTGATTGAGGGTTTTGAGAAATTTATTATAATGAGTAATAAGAAATAAGAGTTTTGAAGTCGGAGATGCTTCAATCTAAGATGAATTAGTAATTTTATGATGTTTATTTAGTTCTGGATATATTTTTTGCACTAAGAGTCTATTAAGCTTATACAATTAGGAGCTGAAAGTATTTTGAGAATTATTCTTATATAAATCAAATGGTGACTGGAGAAATGAGAGTTTCTAAGTGGGAGTTACTTTAAAGAAAATGTAATTAGATACGATAGCCGAATACTATCTTAGTTACTGGACGATGGTAATACTTATCTGATGATATTAAAAGTTCATGTAGTTATTATAGTTGGTGATATTTATGATGTTGAAGTCGGTGTTAATGGTTAACTTGATAATATTGTAGAAGTTGTCATAAATGTAATTGTGTATGTTCATGGAAGTATATGGCTGTGCTGAGACTAGTAGATATGTTGAAGTAAAGGATATTGTCAAAATTGGTGAAAAAGATGAAGTAAATTTAAAAAATAAATAATAAGGATTATAAAACTAGATTATAAAACTTTGCACTTGAATCTGTTGAGCTTGTTTTAGTCTGTAAATGCCATCCTGCATAGTCAAAACCCCCATAATAATAATAAAAAGGACTTTTATTAGTACTTATGAGAGTGGAGGAGGGGAAGAATGTGGTATACATAGTTGGCGTGGAATAATAATAATAATAATAATGATAATGAAAGATTACAATTTACATTTGTATATATAATACAATAAAGAGTAAAGTTTGGCCCCTCAAGTTTTGATATACTCAATTTGAGTTGGATTCAGTTAGCGTGTACCGTTGATTCGATGGTCTAAATAAACCCACACATATGCATGCGTGAACGAAACGAATTGAGCCTTGTGTGCATCGCTTGGCATGATCGAATCAGTCATTTAACTAATGTTGTAGCGCACGGATGTGCACCTCACTGGTCTTTGTTAAGACACATGGCTGAGGCTTGAAACCTCGGCCAGGTCACGACACATCCTATGTTGGTATGGTTGGTATAGCAGCAGCAGTAATAGCAGCCGCCGCCATGGATGTCTTCGAGCAGTTTCAGAAGGCGAGGTCGGTTGGTATAGTTTTTGTTTGGTTGTTGACTTTCCGACTAAAACTCAAACACCGCTTGTCATGAGCGGACTGAGATTTCCAGCCTCGGCCACGGCTACACGAATTAGCGATGCAGCTCCCACGGCTGCGGCTGCTTCCAATGCTGATGCAGTTCTTACGGCAGCTGTTTTTGTTGCTGCTGTTCCTTCTGCTGGCCCGTTTCTTCCAAAATTCATCAAAAGAATGTTGTAGGAGACCGACCAGCAG